ACACCCCAGCAACTGCATAGCAAGAGCCTAGCAACCAACCAGCAACACTTTAGCAAACATCGAGAGCATCTAACTGACCAAACCATTTACGTTTTTAAACAAGACTTTTAGACAAGCCAGCATACATTTGTCTTTCAAACTTTTTTTAATCTAGTTATTACAGTTTTTCTTCCCCAACTGCTTACACACATTTTCAAAACTGTGCCTCTCTTTTTTTTTTTCAAAACTTTACACACAAATCCAAGAATTGCACACAACATGCAAAATGCCTCGCATCTCTTGCACTGTGTGACGAGTAAAGATTTTGTGTGTAAGCAGCTGAAAAAACTGTAAATGCTTACACACAATTCAAATCTTGCCCAGTGAACACTGAGATCAATAACACTGTCACAAAAAACTCTTACGATTCAGGAATTATTTTTGCAGCTCAATGTCTATTACAGTATACATAAATTAAATTGCAGATACAGATACAATAGAATTCAGCAATGAACTTTGGGGGGGGGGGATCATTTTCATTTTACTACTGTAAAGTAATCTTGCAGTAGATGAAAAGCACTAGAAAAGATCAAATACCAAAGAATTGTACAGTAAAATACAGTACAGTAAAAAAAGTAAATTTAAAAAAGTTAATTTCGCATCCTCTGCACATTCTGCCAAATGTCATTACAGTATACAGTACTACAGCAGTTTCTTGGTCTCCTGACACAAGACTAGCTATATCTCTAGGCAGTCATTTCTCAGTTCTGCAAAAATGCAGTTCACAAAAAATGGTTACAAATACAATTTGACAGTCACACGCTCGAAGGTATACAACATGTGCTACAGTTTACTGTACATATAGAATAGTGAAACGTCCATGATCTAATGTACTGTAATTATACTGTATATGCGTAAGTATAAAAGCCCTGTAGATGATTGGCTCAGCTCGAGCTCTCTCCGTTGTTAGCATGCAGATTCTGATTGGTGTGTCATCAGTTTTGCTAACTAATGTGTAACTTACTCATTGTTTAACTTTTTGAGAAACGGGTCTTTGTTTTGAAAACTGAATTAATGGTTTGGAAAAAAAGTGCCAACTAAAATCAGTTATATTAACAATCGAGAGAACTGCAATACGACTAGATTCTTACCTAACTCTGCTATTAGTCTCCGTGATCGGCATCTTATTGATCTCATGTTATTGTCACGGCTTATATCCATGATGAAAGTGGAGCGAGCGGTCGGAGAATCGGATCACCAAACAATTACGCGATGAATCTCAGACATAGGCTATCCGGACGGGATTAGATTTCTCAGAGGACTTCTGAGTTACCTGAGAAGCAGTAATTATCTGATTCACGAACAAATGTAAAAACAATTAATTAGTGAACTGGGCCGCGCTTTGTGTTTTTGACTCAAAAAGATCCGGTTCATAAGAGTCATTTGTTAATGAAGCCGACTACACTGGCATTTTTTTTTCTTTTCTTAGGTTAATGTCACTAGTAAAGCACCGATTAATGACTACATTTTCAAGCACTTATAAAATCTCTACAGATAGCAACTTATTATTATACAAAAAAAAATAATAATAATATATATATATATATATATATATATAATTACATGTACATTTTACATTTACATGCACTTATGATCCATTTCAAAGTTTCTACAGATAGCAACTTTCTGAAATATCTTAAAAGTATCTTTTTTTATATTTCTTACATTAATGTCACTAATAAAGCACTTAAGAAATCTGCCAAATTCCAGATTTTTTACAGATAGCAGCTTTCTGAAATATTATACAAATATAGCATTGAATTTTTTTACTTTTCTTAGGTTAATGTCACTAGTAAAGCATCGATTAGTGACTATATTTACAAGCACTTGTAAAATCAGCTCCATTCCAGAGTTTCTACAGATAGCAACTTATTATACAGAATTTTTTTTTTACATTTCTTACATTTACATGCACTTATGATCCTTTGCAAAGTTTCTATAGACAGCAATCTATAGAAAAATATCAATTTTAAAAGTTTCTTGTGTTAATAATCTGAAGCACTAATTAAGTGACTGTGTTTAAATGCACTTATGATCCGTTGTAATTTCTAGAGATATACTGAAATGTGAACAGTGTTTTCTTGACATTCTTTGCGTTATAAGTGGCTTTCTTGTGTTTTTGAGAGAGTGTGTGTGAAGAAAGCGATCACTGACGGAGCTGCAGGTGTGCGCGGGTTAAGAATACACCGCTAAAGCAGAGCATGTAAACGTGAACGCTGCTTTGCTGTCTGCCAATGCTCTGATGAGCATGTGAACATAGTCGTAGTTGTCACACTGTCATTTTACCTGCAGCTCCAGAGTCTCTGCAGTTCCCATCATTTGTAGAAGCCTGCTGGACTGTATATTCACTGGAAGGGCTCGACCATCGGGTTCAGCAGTTTTGCTGACAATACATCACTGCCAGTGACGTACATACTCACGTGCATTCCTGTCTAGATGCAACCAGAAAAAGGTTCTGAACTGACCCTGATGACCTGCGTGGTCGTGCGTGCCTTTCATCACCTCAGCTCTGAGAGAGTCGGGAACCACAAACTGAAACTGCTTCGACCTCAACAAGCGGTCCCTAGACACCCTGTAAAGCACACCAACAACTGTAAGTTTCTCCCGATGCTTTAAATACCTTACCACTGCAGCCATCTCTTCGAAGGCCTACAGCAGCGCTCTTCAACTCGGCTCCTGGAGGGCCGGTGTCCTGCAGAGCTTAGTTCCAACCCTAATCAAACACACCTGACCAAGCTAATCAAAGTATTCAGGACTATTTAAAAATGACGAACAGGTGTTTTGGATAATTTATAGTAACCTATGCAGATCACTGGCCCTCCAGGACTGGAGTTGACTAGCCCTGGCCTACAGCAAGTCTCCACATACTCCAAAGCACGAGAGATAATCCTGCCATTGCATTGTTTGTCACAAAGTTCACTCCCTGTATAAGCATCAAGATAGTCATAATTAATGTCAACCATCTGAGGCAAACTCTGCAAAGCTGTCATGGCACAAACTCGTGCACCAGTTTCCCACTCACTGTGAGAACGCAACACTGCTGAAACAACGTCACTTGATGCAGATATAGGATTCTGGACAACAGAATCTGCATGAGTGAAGCAATCAGCACAGTTCACTGACTGCCGGAAAGCATTTTGGACAGAGGCAAGCACAAGGGGATCAAATGGCCTATTCAGAAACCTGTGTCGGCACTCGGCTCAAAGCATCAGTAGCAGAATTCTGGGAGCTTGGGACATACTTGATGTCAAAATCATAGCTGGCCATTTTCGCCACCCATCGCTGCTCACAACAATCCAATTTTGGCTTAGTCATGATATGGGTCAGCGGATTTTTGTTGGTGCAGACAATGAATTTGTTAACTTTTAGCCAATGGCTAAACGGCCCATTTTAAGGCTAGAAATTCTAATCTATGAGCTAGATAGTTTACTAGAGAATGCAGTCGGCGGCCTAGCTATAGTGTTACCTTCTTGCACATGAGAAAGAACAGCCCTGATTCCATCCAATGAGGCATCAGTGGAAAGCAGAAAAGGCTGATCAAAGTTTGGATGCGCCAGAACAACACTATTAAACAAGCACAACTTCAGCATCTCAAAGGCTCTAATGTGGTCAAAGTCCAGTGCTCACGAAAGCTTATGCCCCTTTGAGGATGTTTTCAACTTCCAACCGCCTTTAGACTTTCTCGTCTGACCCACAAGCAATTCAAAGAGAGGTTTAGCAATGGATGAATACCTGGGAATGAAGTGTTGGTAATAATTCACCATACCAAGGAACAACCTTACATTTTTGACTTGGAGTCACACCATCCGGTTTCATCAAGTCAGCACAGGTCATCTTTGCAATACTTTCAACATTACAAGGGTCAGTAGAGACACCAGTCTCATCAACTGTGTGGCCAAGAAACGTAATTGATTTTCTGAGAAAGTAACATTTCTTTGGTGACGGATTCAAGTTATGCCCACGCAAACTAAAAATCATGTTAAAAACATGTTAAGAAATGCATATTTTATTCCAAGTGGGAATTAATCACACTTTTGAGTCGAATCAGCTCAAAGACTTAATCAAACTGTCTTTTTTTTTTTTTTGACAAACAGTCTCACATTTCTCCAGACTTGTTGAATATAATGATAGAAAAGTTCCCATGGTTAGGCCAGATTAGATTTAGATTTAACTACTTTAGCGAACTGGGCCATTCACCCGATTGGTACAAAACCACTGAACGACTGTGTTTTAGGTAAAATGTCAAACTCTTGCGCTAAAAAAAAAAGCCATCAAATCTGGGAGGTGCAATGTTTTTGACAAAAAAGTCGACTCTAGATTTAAATAAGCAAATACTTAAGATTTTAGGATTTAATAATTGCAGTGATTAATATGTTTATATGTGGCGACAATTCTTTTAGCCCTAACTGATGCAGTGCGTTTTCTCATTCAGTATTTAAATCCAAATGGTGACTTTTTTTTGGCCAGGCAGTGTATAAATAGCATATCAATAATTCTCAACCCGAATGATATGTTTGCATTAAATATGATGCACTTATGTAAGGGCTCACTCTGACAACACGCAGAAAAAAATAGCAGGGCTTGTTCAGTCGGTGCCGCTGTAATACCACAAAGCATGAAATTAGCTTTATGCAATTGGTGGGTTTGGTTTGTCCCCATAATTGCTGCATGGTCCTGTAAAATTTATTTGTTTTGTTGCTTGTTCCTGTAAAAATGTTATTGTTTGAATATGATGGAGCCTATATATGGATCTACATCTAGTAAGCATTTTTGTGAAATATACTGTATGGGTGTGCATGCAGCCCCCAAGAGTTAAATCATCCAGTTTTTATATATAAATACTACAGAAAAATAAGGCTCATTAATGTCAAAAAATTTCAATCAAATTAATTGCACTTCTTTATTTGTCCAACAGTGTCATCTAGTGTGACACAGATGAACTGCAAAAAACACAAGGGGGTTTCTGAATCACGATTTATTGAAATCTACAAAAGGCTTCATTGGCTTTTTTTTTTACAATTTAAAATCATCAGAGTAAAATGAAGTAGCAATGGAAAAAAGAAAGCAGTGTGTATCATTCTACACAGACAGCGTCTCACCTACAGAAAGTGGCAGTGTTTGAATACGGCTGAATGAAGCCTCAGTGTTCACAGCAGACCAAAGCTTTGAAAGCAGGAGCATCATCTGCGTGAGGAGCGAGCCTCCAGGATCTGCACCACCAGCCTGTTTTTCAGACTGCGCAGTTTGCTGCTGTAATTCTGCTGCAGGACGGCATCGAATCGCAGGCGGAGGCTGCGCAGACACAGCAAAGAGCTGCAGTCCGGCACGTTCAGCAGCGTGTGGAAGAAGTCCTGCCACAGATCAGCGTGAATGTTCCTGATACAGAGAGAGAACCAACATTACAGTCACCTCAAAACTGCGCTTCATCACTAGTCGGCACATGATCCAGCATGCTTTCACGTTACCTTTTGAAAACTCCATTGGTTCTCCAAATGCCACCTTCCTGTTTAACTTGCATGTACGTCCCAAACATCATACAGTAGACCGTCCCCGCAATGCCAAAATAATCAGTCTGTTAGAAATACAGAATGGCAGACATGAGTGTGCACTAAACCAACTGGACAGAAAATCAGTGCGAATCTCATAAATCACATTATACCATGCTCTGTCTGAATACTTTATTCTGATTGGCTGGCAGGTGTGCATTAAAACCGTTCTAAGTCAGTTTAATCACCGTTTTATATTTGCCTTTGCATTAAACGAATTTAATGTGCATCGTGGAGGCAGTGTATTATCCCTTACTTTTATCCCAGGCAGTAAAAAAAAATATTTGCATAAAGAAAAAGAAGCCTATTATTTGAGAAAGCAGAATAATGCTGGCAATTCTGTCATTTATACCCCTTCATTTAATTTCCTCCCTGTGGAGAACAAAGCAATTGTAAAAACAATCATTATACAGCTCTCATATGCATCAGGTCATGACAGGACTACATACACTACATGCGTGAATCAGTGGGCGGAGCTAAACAGACAGTGATGTAGAATCGGTGGGCGGAGCTAAACAGGAAGTGATGTAGAAGCAGGCGTTGATCATCTTCTGCGGAGGCGGAGTTTAGCCACACTATTACGTCATAGAGCAGCACATTCCACAACCTGTCGTTTTGGGAAATTGGCTTCAGTATAAGCTGTTTTTAGACAGTTTTTTAGAAAGTTTTGAGTTCTGAAACTTACAGGATGTTTTTGTAGTACAGTGACCTCGTATATGTCAAAAGATCAAGCAAATCTTGATTTCTCAGTTCACGACCCCTTTAATGCATTTCATATTGTCGACTAAGAATGGAATATTTTATATCAAAACGGTACAAAATAATCCTATTCATATCTATGTGATTAATGGGTTAGGTCAAAATTAACCTCAAAGTAATCAAAAAGGAGTCCAAATGCATTACCTAAAATTAGTTCTCTAATAGACTGCATTACTAACTACAATTTCTGTCATGTAATTTGCGATCAGTAATGGCCTACAGTTTGCAAATCTACCCAGCACTGGTGAAGTATCATAACAGGAGTCGATCTGTTTCAGGCTTGCTGAAATGATGCTCACCTGATAGGTCCAGGGTCGGCCACTCAGCATCTCCACACACTGGAAGCCTGAAGTCATGCATTTGGCAGTGAACGCAGTGCCTTCTGGGAAGAGCGTCATATCGATGCTCTGCCCGAGGTCAATCAGAGCCAGGCCGTGCTCTAGGTGATCCTGCTCAAAGCAGTCATTCTCCAGAAACCTGAACAAAAGCGACAGCACACGTCATTCAGCCTGCACCCGCCGGGCCGCCGCACTCCTGCAGTGCATGCTGGGAAAGCACGTACCTCTCTCCCAAAAGGAAGTTGTCGGGCTTGATGTCGGCGTGTATGATGCTGGCCTGATGCAGCTGCTCCACCATGTGCAGGATGCAGACGGTGAAGTACAGCACCAGAGGCTGCGGCATCACCTTCTCACTGCGGCTCTTGTACAGGTTTATAGCACTCTGGAGGATGACACGAGACAGGACAACACCACCGTTCAGCTACATTCGCTTGCGTTTGTCCTGACAGGGGCGGACGGTTGCACAGCACACTTCAGCCATGTGGCTAACTGACAAACTCACATGGACTGACTTCTAGAAAATCACACTGTCTATTCAAAAACCGGGCTTCCTCATATATACAGTTTTTAAGACTCCTGGCTCTTAAAAGAAATAAAGCAGTTGTCTAGAGGATGAAACAAAATTAGTAATATCTTGATTTTTGGTTGTTTAGCTTATTTTAATGCTTGTTTTGAGTGTGTTTTTATTTTATCATTTTAAGTCATCTTGAGGCCCCCTGGTAGAGAACCACTGCTCTACAGTACTCACTGATTTTGTGGTGAACGATTCCATAAAGCAGTACATAAGTTCACGAGCAGTCAAATTTGAAAACAGAACCTCTTTGGTTACATGAATACACCATTTTGTTTAAAAATCTGTGTTGTTTACTGGCCAGTAGGGGTGTGCGATATTGACAAAAAATAATATTTCAGTATTTTCTGGGATTTTATCGATAACGATAATTTGACGATATTTTGCCGAGTGTGTTATTGTGCTGGTACCTTAAGGACAGCTGACTCCTAAAGTTTTTGATATTCTTCATATTCTGTGTGCTGGTCAGTTCACACAGAGAAATTAATCTTTTCCAATAACTTTTTTACATTTTATGGGCATTTTTACCTTTATAAAGCCATTTTTTCTAAAAGTGTCCATTATCTTTTGAGTGAAATTCTTACATTTAATCAGTGAATTAGAATAATAAGACATTTGGGCTGTTACCAAGCAAATTAAATCAACACAGAAGCTGCATCTGAAGTGGCATTTAGATGCATTTACACACTGTTTAATACAAGACATGAATGCATTTACCCTGCAATTACAAATGCATAAATAATGTTTTGATATATTAAACAAAACGTTGAATACTGATATTTGAAATTATTTAAATAATAAAAGAAATTAAAACCGCCAGCAGGTGGCAGCAAGTGTCTGTTAATAAGTGAGTCATTGCGATTGAACCAAATAATTTAAACGGTTGATTCATTCGGGAACGAAACACCGTCATGTTGCTCAGAGACACAAAACAGCACTGTGGCTGTATTCGGAATGATTTTTGTTGGCGAAATAGAGCAAAAACAAGCAATATGGTGTCTAAAACGTAAGTCTCTTAATTAACTT